GTTTCCATCGGCACGTGACATCGCCATTACGTCATAAAATTATAAACCAATGCTAGCCAGGAAGTAGACTGGTCCCCAACGCTAAACTCGCACCGCCTGTCCGAAACAGTGATAACAGTAAACGTGCGAACCCATCTAACCAAAACGTGCAAGGCTACGGTCAGCCATCAGACATGATTATTGTTTACGTTCGTATAATATGCTGCGTATATATTACTTTATTATATTCTCGGTATACATAGAGCGTTTTTACAGCAATTTATTTAAGAGCAGCAGCAGGAGTTTTTTGCCGTTTGCTCATGAGTGGCACTGTGGTGAGTGCTGGGTGAACTTTGTCGTTACGGTCGGTCGTTGTCGCTGCAGTGTGGCTGCGCCAGTCGCCGCGACTTTGTCGTTTGTCGTTACGGTCGGTCGTTGTCGCTGCAGTGTGGCTGCGCCAGTCGCCGCGACTTTGTCGTTTGTCGTTACGGTCGGTCGCTGTCGCTGCAGTGTGTCTTGGCCTTAAGATGACTGAGAACACACAGTAAGAATCAGTTACTCACCTAAAGTGGTAGGTACCCGGTCTCTGACCGAAACCGCTCCCAGGCACAATGCACAGTCCCTTTTCCTCCAGCAGTTCATAGGCATACATGAAATCAGGAGCCTTGCCTTCCGACTGTAAAGGAACACGTAACATAAATGCCAAGCCATTCTAGACAGCTGTGGCCCACGCGGTCATCATAAGTGACCCACAGTCACAAAATCAGTTGTGTCGCGAACAAATCAATTCTGGTACAAGAATAGATACGGTAAAAGGGTACGTTTGTGGGCGCACGCATTCATTGTAGGCAGAGATGAGAACGGCCCCGGACGAAATCCGTGGGAAATATTTCTACTTACTGGTAGGATAGCGCAAAGCACTATATTGTGCACCGTAGGTACTGAGCACTATCGGGGGGTCTGGGGGTCCTCCAGCAGAATTTTTTTTTAATTAGTAGATGCTTGCAGATGCGTTCTGAGGCACAGAAATTTTGAAAACTAGCTTGTTCATGAACGCCACCATTGCGCGCGCAGTGCGGGAATGAATAGTACATTTGTCGGCCGCGGGACGAGTAGTACATTTGTCGGCCGCGGGACGAGTAGTACATTTGTCA